TCAAACTTTAACCCGAGTCAAATGTTTCTTTCTCATTGCATCCTTCTCAATTGCAGAATCTTCTAGTGTTTCTGCTCTCGACGCTTCTCGATGTTATTCGAGTATTATTTTCTTTTAATAAATAAAAAAAAAAAAAAAAAGAAGAGACACACATCACACACACACACACATAATTTCACATTTCGTCTGTATTTCGCCTTTACCTCGGCCCCTTTTGTCTTAACGTATCTTCAAACCGTACTCGAACGGTACTGGAAAGGACCAACAAATTAGTGAAGCCTAATGAAAGAAAAAAAGAAAAAGAAGAGAGAAAAAAGGAACAATTGGGAACAATACGAGAGAATGGATGTAATTAGATACTCGTAGAGAGCTCGCAGCGAAAAGAAGAATACGTCGATCATAAATTGGGGATGAGCAGACTGCAAGGTATCCTGATATCTGGCTCGTTACACGGTCACGACGGTATTAACTTGCCGAAGGGTAATCAAGTAATGAATACATCGCCGGCGAAGACCGTACGTATATAAATCATGCCGGAGAGGATGCCAGGGGCTACAGGGTGAGCCCTTATCTCCAATCAGTACATTGATTGCACGCAGCCAGGTCAAATACCGGGCTTCGCTCGACGGCTCGGCTCAGACACGATAGCTTATTCAATTTCCGAAGCGGCATTCACCATTCAATTCGGCAGTTATCAGCCTCCACCTATCCCCTATCTGGATTTTGCGTGGCTTTCTAGGAATCGTACTTTCCGTAAGAGAAAAGAATTGGGTTATTCGAGGCGAAGGAGCAAGAGGTACCTAAACGCGGTTAATTTAATTGCGCGCCATCAGGATTTTGTCCTCCGTTACGTTCCAAGGAGAAAATCGTTCAGCTTTATCGGTACTTGAAACGTACAGTGATTAACTCGTCGTTTTAAATCGATTTAACGTCGTACGTCGTTCGAACGTTCTGTGTATAAGGTGTTTGATGAACGAGGGGCACGTATTGCATCTGTGTCGACTTTTCGATATTTTGTCTACTATCAACTAAGTCGTACACTTTTGTCATATATATAATAAAGACTTGTCTTATTAATGGTAATTGAAGACTTTCCTAAATCAACTTTTCTAATTACGAACATTGATTTAATATAATATTACTGTGACAAGGGATGTAAGGGATATAAGAAATATACGATACTTCTTACATTTTTGAAAAATGTACTTAAGAATTGTTCTTAAGTTGGACCTGCCTGAACATCTGCACCAAAAAGTGAAAAATTATATAAAAATTTGCAGGATTAAGTCTTTGTTGGGAAATAAAATTGTAAACAGTAACAGAAATAAGAAATTGGATTCATAAGCTTTGTTTTCGATGGATTCTTCTTCAGTATCTGCTTTGATCGTTGATTTATATATCGTCGAAATATCGAATTCGATCATTAACCATGTATAAAAATACACAATATTCCAGAAAGCTTTCACATTGCTCTTCTTGTACTTTTTCATCATTTATTCGTTTCATTAATCATAGTCATAAACGTGCGCAATATTAATATCCCAAATTAATATAATGTTTCAAATTAATTCAAAACAGGGACTGATGAATTAATAGATTATTCAAAGTAATTACCATTTACCATCGAATCTAATTACCAATTAAAATAATTACGATTTAGCATAGAATTTTCTGAGAAAATTACATCTTTTTTATAAATTGATAATATCATTATACGCGACTGCCATTAAATCCATCAGTTTTGAAATCGTCGATATACAAAATTGGTCAGGCCGTGTCCCACCATTGGCAGTTTATGTACACTTTCGTGAAACACGCTCGCCGGTTCATTTTCGTTCCAAGGCGTTACGCTGTGAAATGAAATTAAATACAATAGATACGATTACGCGATATATTTCCTATGGCTATTACTCAGCATCTATCCGGCAGAAGCAAGACGCGCTTCCCACAGTGTACATAGATAATCGAGCTTAATTAATTGCTCGTGATGCGCGCTCTGGGCTAAGCAAACACATTTACTTATTACCATCCATCTTGAGTGGTGTCTCTCAAGGGAATCGATTTTCTGAGCGCACATGGCCGACGACGACACGAATTGTCGAAGAGTCGGCACGTGATCGCAACAAAATCGTTAAATAAAGGTGCGGTCCGTGTTATTCCCCTGTTTTAGCGGTGCTGAAATTCTCAACCTTGGAATGTATTTTTAGGTATCACAGAAAGTTCACGAGTCGTTACCTTTCCACTTGCCTTCCCAATATTCCACAACTTCTTGTTTTTACGTCTGCGTAAAGCTAAGAAAACTGAATCGATTAATAAGCAACATTTGTCGATATTTTCATGAAAGATATTTCTTGCTGTCGCAGTTATTCACAGATGAAGATACTTTTAACGAGCATTTAAAATCTACTACTATAAAAACTATAAAATCACTAAAATAAAATCGACAAAATTTATGATTATGAATTACTGTTTGAAGGCCAACTTACACTCTCAATTGTACAGACGTTCTGAAAGTCAGTGAATTCGACGAAATCATTGACTTTCACCGACGTTCATTCTGTACGTTGATCAACTACGAGGTGGGAGATGTGAGACTATTTGGCCGTGAAGCTACCGTTAACGAGCAGTAGTTAATGCTAGTCTACGTTAATCGTCCCCACGTCCATACCACAATACAGTCCGTAGAAGTCTCGGTTGGTGATCGTTATTGACTGGTACAGATCCCTTGGGTCGTAAGTGACATTTACACGATGCATTCAGCGTTAAACTTCCCTGGAGAACCCGGGAGAGGGGCAGAACGTCGTATCTCAGTTCCAGTATCTATACGGACACGGGTTTCCCCTGACAACGAGACAACAACAAACGCTTAATAGCCAGTGCTCGGCTCAAAGTTTAATTTCCTGACAAGAGGACAGTGCTTAAAGTGACCCGCTGCCCTTAGTCCCCGCTCCCCTTATTCGTCGTTCTCCCTCATTATCCTTGAAACCACGCGTCTTCCGGTTCTCGTTCCTTTCCATACTTTCCTCTCGCACTTTCATCGATTTTCCTGTTTATTTAAACTACGCTCTTACTTGCTCACGCGTTTCATGCCCGTTTCGTGCCCGCCGGCCTATACCTAACATCCACGGAGCATTAAACAATAAGCAATCACGACTGCCTTCTCTTGAGACGTATCTCATGCTAGTTACACAACAATTTAATCGATCCCACGACGGCCAGCAGAATTACGAGCTCGCGCGATAGGAGTAATTTATTCTCCATTAGTGAAAATCAGATCGTCAGGCGTCCAATGTACGTTAAACCTTGCTTAATACTTCATTACGCTTAGGAGGAATAAATTAAATGTACCATCTATGTGTAATATGTCGTTATACCTTCGAGGTGATTTAGATAAAAATAATGTATGTAACTTACAGGCAATTAACATCATAAATCGTTCTTTCGATGTAAGCTGCTCTGTGTAATGAATGTACGTATAGGCTCATCGTCTATCTTTTAACTTGACTTTGCTGTTTCTTCAATTAGAAGGAAGGGATTTTCTCCCCCCGATGGTTATTACGGTTCGAAGGTTGATACAAAGATAGAGAACGTTAATAAAATAAGATTTAATTGAAAGGTTAAGGAACAACGTACTACGTAGCGGGCTTTGAACCCGGAAATCTTTGCTGCGCTTCCAGGGGTATAGCGTCTGCACGAGATCCACGTGGTCGTGGCACTGACCCCTGCGAAGCAACCCCTCTTGGTATCTGACGTGCATGCAGGGAAAAAGTTTCGGGGTTGCCACGTATGTTTCTACCCCAGTGAGTTCTCTCCCCGCTATTCTTATGGGAGATAGTGCATAATGAAGAAGGAAAAAAAAAAAAAGGAAAAAAGAAAACATCGAGTCAGAAGACAGATGGTCACGATGCTCGGCCATATTATGCCCACGTTAAGAAACAGATTCTCGAGCGTCCAATGAAATTTATTGTCCAAAGTTGCACGGCTGTGTTGCTTTTCGTGCTGCCGACTTTGAAAGAGTTACGTATTCCTCCTTTATCAAACCGTATACCGATTTCTCTTCCACAAAATTGTGCGCATGGGTTTCTCGAAAGTTACAAGTTACTCGCGTTCTTATTTAATCTTTAAGTAAGACTGAAGGTCTTAAATTCGCGATGCTAACGGAGATAACCTCGTTAAACCTCGAATGATCTAATTCATATCACACGTTCACGTTCGCGAAAAAAGGTTTGGATAGAATTCCCGCGAACAGTTTCAGGGTAACGCGTCTCTGGGAGGGTCGGCGAAGGTTTCGAAGTGACAGAAAGAGAAGGATTCCGAGAACAAAACAACCAATTGAAAATAGAAAGAGAGTGAGAGAGAGAGAGAGAGAGAGAGAAGGATAGGGGGTAGGTCGTTGCATAAGAGAGAGAGAGAGAGAGAGAATCGGAGTACAGTCCCGTGTCCCCTGCGTCATGAATCATGCATTCTCATCCCCTAGGAATGAACTAGAGCGCTCTGCGGTCGCACGACCCGTCCGACAAATAAACAATGTTATTTGTTCTCTGGGATCTCGACCCGTTCGTAGTGGACCGAAAGATTTCGTGAGGACGGAAGGACGAGTGTCGGAGTTCCGCATTTTCGCGGACCGAAACGGCGGGAGAAAGGACGAGAGAGGATCTCTTTTCCCAGCCTCTGTTCCTTTATCTTGTTCTAACCCCCCCCCCCCCCTGTTTCCCTGCAATTCATTCTCGCCAGCTCGTTGTTCCTCGTCACCGTTTTCCATTCGTTACCTTTATTTCCTGACAATCGGACCTGTCAACGACAGAGATGCCGTTTAAACAAGAGCGAAATGACGGAACCTAGACGTACAACCGAGTCCGCATTCGCGCGTAAATGATGGAACCTCTCTTCCGTTCCATTTGGCCAAAATTTTTGGCCCAAACGCCGCTGTTAATTAATTATTCGAGCTGATTCGTCGCGTTCTATACAATTCTAATAGACTGCTCCTGTTTCTGTTGCAGATGAACCGTCCTATTCAAGTCAAGCCGGCGGACAGTGAAAACCGCGGAGGTGAGAACAGGCAATCGAACCAGTATATCACGATATCAGATTTTCAGTAATAAGATCAAATTTAAGTATAGCGACAGTAGTTTCTCGATTTTTGAAATTCTAACCTAACCGAACGACTAACTTGTGATACTTTTTCTAGCGTACATTCAGATAGCACTGACGCGTAAAGAATTTTATTAGCATCCAGAGTGACGGAATAAAATTTTCCTATAACAATGATGCCTATCTTTCAGCGGTAGAATACACGCCATGCTGTGTACTGCAGGACTAACAACTTCGAAGTTGTCAACTAATTCTGATACTTTTCTATATAGTTCTTGAAAGCTATTGAGGATGGGAACGGTTATCGTACAGAGGTCACTACTAAAAGCAACGATTCGTTCGCTTATGGTAACTCGAAATAAAAGCTGCGTTATCGATCAAAAAGCTTCAATAAAAAATAACCGGTTTAATAGCGAGCAATGAAATATTTTCATTGAATTGAAAAGCATTCGCTATAACATGCGATAATATACGTTGACAACCCATACGTAACTTTCAATCGAGCAAACACAAAAAAAGCATATCCTGATAAAAATTCGTTTCCATGCAGTATCAACACCATTTTCGAGTTACGGTACTATTCATTAATTTCGTGGCATTGGAAACATATATTATATCGATATATATATATATGTGTGTGTATGTATGTATATATATATATATATATCGTTTCGACCGACACAAGCTTTTACGCTTCCGCGTAAATTTCAGCGAAATTTTATGAAATACACGGACGATGGATTATCGAACTTAATATATTAAAAAATAAGATAACAATTGACTGCTTATCAGGTTTACACACATTGGATGTAGCGGCAGGCATAAAGATAAAACACAAATACAGCGATAAAACCGGCTCTTGTATTCGTGACTACATTTTCCTTAACGGTACGTTAGTATATTTTGCGCTATGCATCCTCGTCTAATTTTTCCTCATCGTGTTAGACCTCATAAATGACAGGGACTTTATTATCGTTGCTTGCTGCATATGTCTACGTTTTATCATTTCGACAACGCCGTGTAACTTCGTCTTAAAAGTTACACGCCCAACGTGTCTAACTACATACATGTGTTTCTCAGGTTTTCCAATTCACTTGCTCGATTCACTGATCTTCGTTTTTCAGATCAAAGAAATGCCTACGTGTTTTTCAATTGCTATTATTTACGCGTACGTCCAATAGAAAAAGCAACAGTAGAAAATTATGCGGAAATAAACGAAAATTTGCAATGTTAATATTTTGAAAACAAGTTCCAACGTTTTGCCGTGCAAACTTTCAACTACGAAAATACGACTGCACAAACAGTGGTCGTAAACATTTCCACGGCGAAATGCCGGGTTTTCATACAAGTTCGCATTATAATTTTATAATTTTATAATTCCAGTTTGCATAGCATTAGTACCTATTTATAATCATGAATGCTCGGATAAGCATAAAATTTAATCATAAAATATATTACGCGCGTGTATACGTGTGCCTCTCCTTTCATGAGAATTAAATAATTGATGCTCGTGAAACAATTTAGATGGTTAATTTCCACGAAATATCACATCAACTTTTGTCAATATTAACCTTGCTGACTGGATCATGTGTCAATGCCTCTTCATGCTTGTTTCATTATTTGATTCGAATACAAAATTTAATAACTGACGACTTAGAATTTCGTAAATCTTTTTGAAAGTATCAATTAGATGAGATACGAATTATTTGATTTTGTAGAATAAAAAGTTCAACAACTGACTATTTAGCTTTACAGTTTCGTAAATTTTCTAAATATAACGCTTTAAAAAAATATATATATATATATATATATCTCAAATAATTGGATAAGATTGAAACGATTGTGTGAAAGATATTACAATCAAATTACAGTTATCTGATTTTCCGGCGAAAAAGCTCAATTTTTATATTTCCATCCGTACCTTTGCCGTTGCGTTCGCACATACGTTCAAACTTGTATATGAAACGCGACAAAATCCGGCGGAGATATCTGCACGCATAATGGAATATTGCGAATAAGCCGTCCAAATATCGGTTCCCAAAATTCACGGAAACATGAACCCAAAGAACGTTGTACCGAGCAATTCGGTGAAGTTGCTGGCCTTCGAAATCGTTCGCTCGAACGGGTCTGAATAGAAACGCGCACGAGGAGTAAATCGTGCAAAGGGCGGAAGAAGATCGCGAGCAACCTAGGGGAAAGGGTGAAGCCGAAAGTATATGGGAAGACGAAGAAAGTAGAGGTAGAGGCGAAAGGATGTAGTATTCAAGGAGAGACACCGAAGAAGGAGGAAAGTGGGTTGAAGAGAGAGAGAGAGAGAGAGAGAGAGAGAGAGAGAGAGAGTGGCGTGCACGAAAAGGGAGGAGGTAGTAGATGAGGGAGAAGAGGGGGGGGGATCCGTAATTCATATGCTAATCTGGCGTAGATGCCATTGTAATCTCCGGTCGCCTGCCTCGGTGTGGCCCCACAAAGCCCCAGCTTGACGCGGATGCAGGAGGAGTGATCCAAAGGCTCAACGCTGTCACTGCTTCTGCTTCCACCGTCTTACTGCAACGGTATACCAACGTACATCACGCATCCGCGTAGTCGCAGACTTCAATCACGGTGTTACTGAACTTCGTCAACGTCGACGATCTGTCTCCGTATCTCGCGCGGCGTCGCAGCACCGACGCGACGCGACGCGACGCGACGCGACGCCGCTATCCTTTTGTCGTTGCGCGTCTATACTTTCGACTTGTCTCCTGGTGTATGTATATATACCTCGTATATCGTCTTGCAGAGAAATTTAACCTTTTGCAAAGAGAGTCTGCAGTGTCACTTCAAGATAAAAAGATACGCGTGAGATCACGACGTGAAAGTACGTAGGTGAAACATTCCATTTTGAAATATTTTCTTCCCCAAAAGGTATAAGGTACTTGAGAGCTTCGAGTCACGAATCGATCTTAATCGACGAATCTTCTACGAGTCGTTACTTCTCTCGATGCCTTCGATCGGGGCGAAAGGCACGTTCTTCGAAGCGCGGATAATTCGAACAATAAGAAAGACGAGGAAGATTTCCCGCGCGCTATTCGAACCTAACTGTGATTGATCATCTCGCGAAAGCAGCCGGAATTAAGTGTACAACGACGGAAACAGATTTGAGAAATGCGTATCTCACATGGAAGTTGTGCACGAACTCGGCGCGAAGGGGAGGGAGAGGGTAGCCGAAGTTCCCACGAATGGATAAGGGTAGCTGGTGTACTGGAGCAGCTAGTTGAGCAAGTAGATAAGTTTCGATCCCTCGGCGATCCACCTTGCTCCCACCGCCATCACTCGCCCTACTATGTTCGAGCAGATAAACGTATCCTGGGATATCGGGACTCTCGAAAGCTGCCTTCATTGCTGGCAACTTTGAGTTAGCCGACGTGACGCAAGCGCCTCGGTCCGAAGCCGCTGCAAGAAATCCTTGCGGATTATGAGAGGGCGACGTGCTTCTTCGCAGCCCGAGGAAACGATGTCGTAAATAGCTACGATGGCTGGCGTAGGATGAAGTTACGTATGGGTCAGTAATTATGGCGTATTTAACGACCGAAAGCTCGTTAAGCACGCAAGAATTTACGCTGCAGTAAATGATTAACTAGATACGATACCAGATTCAACGATTTAATACCTAATTCTTCGCGGTATCGTCAAACGTTGACTCTGACTCGCGAATTCAAAATTTCTATTGGGTCGCGATTTTATGCGTGGTGCACGCATGGTTTAGGTTTATTGTTGGCGTATCGTGTTTCCAATAAAATTGGGATTGTATTTGTATTTTTACGCGTGTACAACGGTCTTGGCATGTTTACGTACATCATAATTTCACGTACGAACTCTTCCGTAACTGAAGGCTTCGTTATTAACATTAAAAATAGGTATCAGAGACACCTGAATAAAAAATGCTCGACTCTCGCTTCAAACTTTGCGCGTTAGTTCACGCCATTTCACGCATAATTTTCGAGGACTTTTAGAGAAATGAAAGTTTCGAAATATCGGAGAATCGATCGATTATAGATAAAAATTACACTGTAAAACCCGATTGGATATTATCATGAAAATGCCTTGTATACATCGAAGCTTCTCGCTCCTGCTGTATAAAAATAGAAATATTTAGGACTCTACGTGATTACATTGAACAGCTTTAATCTTTAAGCCTTAAAACGTTGTTCGAATCAACGTTGAGTTTCGTAAGAAAGCTAAGAACGTTAATTCATTCCTTTCCGTACGCTCGGGTTATCTTCTTTTTATTAAAATCATGAAAGCAATGAGACGACGATTTACCTTGAATTTCACCAATATCATTTTCCTCGCCGCTTTAATCGAATCAACGCAATAATAGCAGCAGGTTAAAATAGAGAGAAAAAGAGAGAGGGAGAGAGAGAGAGAGAGAGAGAGAGAGAAAGAGAGAAAGGGGGGAAAAAAAAAAAGAAAAGATCATTGTGTTAGCGAGCTGGCGCGATAAAAGGAAGCACGGTGTCAAACAGTATGTTCGCTTTGTTCTCCGGGTCCAGCGAGAAGATAATTTCCCGAGGGTTAATTCCTTCCTCGATTTCTTGGAGGCCTTAGCCGGGAAAAGGGAACGCGAAGGGCACGTTAACACTTAGCTCGAGCGACAAAGGTCCAATTCTCGGTCCCCACGGTGTTCTGGCACGACAATGGGAACAAACGCTCGATGAAAAGTACTCGGGGCTAAAGGAACGAGAATTCCCTGTCAAGGAATGGCGGGAGGAAGTGTGAGAAAGTGAAGAAGGGTGGGCGAGAATGGGTAGGGTGGACGAAGGGGTAAGAATCCGTGGAGAACAGGGATGCAACGAGGCTGCAAGTCAGGCGAGAATCTAATTTCCCGAGACAAATCCTTAAATGTGCCCCGGAGCCTGGCTGGAAGGCGCGAGTCAAGCCAGCAGCTGGAATGAGCTCGCGTCTAGCAGCCGCGACGCGACGCGACGACGACCTTTAACTTGGTTCGCCAATTTTGCATCTCCATAACCTCGCGAGAACGCGTCATTAAGTTCATTCACGCGGGAAACGCGGTGAATCGAAAGCACGATCCGCTGCCACGTTATCCGAGGAATGTAAAATTTCGCGATAAAACGGTTACGCCCGATTGAAATTCTCCCTACCAACTGTGTATCTCCGACTTTCAAACTTTCGTTTAATGAGAATATTGTCCCGTAATTGGAAGACGATTCCCAAATGTACGAGCCAAGTTCTACATCTCGCGGAACGAGTGTGTAGTTAATAATATGCGCGCGAGTCATTTGAAAAGTTTTGTAATTCCTATCCCTCTCGGTGTATACATCTGCTATATACTGCGGAAAGTTTTGCACGTGAAAAATGACGTCTCGATTGTTCTCGCACGTTTCGCGGAACTTTTCAAATGAATTGTCATGCAAATCTTAAAATAGATAGATTTCTCAGCAATGTTTCTCATATGTTTCACGACGACTAGTAAATCTGACGTATGTTACATTCTTAGAAACATCGTAAAAAGTTAGTGTGTGTAATAAAGTTATGTGTCAACTTATCGTGATGAATTGATCGTCGGTTATCTTTTTTTCTTTTACTTATATTCCGATACTCGGAATGATAATACGACGTAAATTTCCTGCGAGTCGTTAGGGCGTGGTATCGGAACGATCGAGAGAAACGAAAGAAATATGCCAGATTGCACAGTCAGTCTAAAGACAAATGCACTCGACTAAGCGGCAGCAGAGAGGGCATGTGATGAATAGTTTCTCAAGGATACATATAGACAATGACGACAACGAATGTACTTTTGGGCCCAATGGCATTTCTTTGTTTCTGTTCTGTATTCCAGAGTGCATGATGGACGACGGGAGCACCAGTGCCATCTTCTGGAAGTAGGAGGCACCGGTGGCGGCCGCTGAAGGTAACTTCGACTTCCAGGAGATAGCTAGCTTCCTTCCAGTACCTCTCTATTCTTCTTCTCCGCAAATCGGCAGAAGGAGAATCTCTCTAAGAGAAAAAAGAAAGAAAAGAAAACGAATTTTCCTCTCTCATCACGCCATCACCGCTGAATCAGCCAGCACAGCTCGCCGCAAAGTTCATTTTGCTGCTCGCTAGTGTTTGACCCACGAATCCTGGCATTCCTTCACGACCATCCCCGTTCCTCCCCAAGTACTTCTACGCCCGCCATCCAATTTCTCGACCCGGCGCATAACCGGCGTATATATCTATCAAAATTCCGAACAACGCCGGACAAATACGCTGTCCGTTTCATCGAATTTTCTTTTTTTTTTTTTTTTTTTCCTTCTTTTTCGAAGCTCAAAATTTTCCCTCTCGATAAGAATTGCCAACTTGGATCGCGAGGCTCCCGCCATGGTCCGGTACCAACTGTTTCTTTCGCTTTTGCAAACGAAAGTTCTTTCACGAATATGCCTCCCGCGTCGCGTTGACTTTCCAAGAGAGAAAACTGACCATTCGATCTCCGCGTAATTTAATCAACGAGCGCGTTTTTATTTCTCTTTCGGGTACATACACCTTTCTCCGTTTCGAACTGCCGTTCCGTTGTTCCTAATCCATATCATCCGAAAACACGGATACACGACGTGATACACACTATAAGGTATTATAAATGATGTTGTACGTGTCCACATGCGTGAACCTTTATTTAGTAGCCGTAAACTTGTCGTTCGTGTTTTTGCTCTAGTTTTTTATTGCGCACCGGCGTTATCACACTGTTTGAAACCTTGTTACGGCGATATCCGGGTGGACGCTCTTAGAATTCCTTGGAATATCCCATGAATCAATCGGGCCATTCGTTTCACTTGTTAAAAGAACGAAAAAGGAAAAAAAAAAAAACAAGAAGAAAAGAAAGAAAAATGTTTAAAGCTTGAACGAATGTTGTCTAAACAGATCATCCTAGAGCGTCTACCGACCGTATCATACAAAAAACCTCTTCTTTTATTCCGAAGGCCAAATATATCGTATGCCTCGTAAAATCCAGGCTCCTTAATTAATTCCAGATCCAATTTCACATTATCCGTTCGTATGGGCAACCACCCTAAGCGTATATATATATAGACAACGTATATATATACACTCTATACCGCTCTTTACAGCTATGACCATAAAATAGTGGCTCGCTCGTTGGATGTGTTGTCTCGTTCGTTGTCGATGTGTTTTTTATCACCTTTGTAAATATTTTCTGATTATGATGTCAGCTACGTTTCTCTTATTGTATTACTTAGATATGATTCTATATGACAACTTTTTTGCCTCCTCCACCCCCTCCCCCTCGAGCTCCCTTCTGAGTCATGTTCCTAAAAAAAAAAAAAAAAAAAAAAATATCTTCAACCTCCTACTTGTCACGTCTTTTGTCACGTAGTCCCAGTCGATTTTGCACACCTTCGATTAATTATTATCATTATTATACAGGGGTACACGTACACACAGGATACACATTCTGTGCAGATATTTCTAAGAAAGAACATTCTTGTATCACCGTTGGCTCTTAAATTAATTGGTCTGTAACGACGAACGTGGCACGGCAAAAAAAAAAAGAAGAAAAAATTAAAATTCCAAAAAACTTGCAAAACTTGCCTTGTTAAATTCAAACGATCATGAGCCGTATTTACGCAGAATGAGTTCAAACGAATCGCTAAACTTTAGACTGATAATTCATTTACTTCAAAGAATTCCCCAATATTTATAACTAAAAGGGACCTTTCTTAAAGATTTTTTAAGATATGATATATATTTTTGTCATTTCGCGTTGAAAAAATAATTAAACTATTGTTTCGTTTTCTTCGCGGCATTCTTTTGCTACAAGACGCTACAAATTTTGCGATGCAAAGTAGCATTCGATAATGTTACAGTATTTTTTTTCTTTCCATTCCAACGCGTACAATTATCATTCTTGTGAATACTGACGTTACAAATGCGAGCCATGCATTACACGAGAATTGCTAGTAACGTCGAAATTCGTGGCTCGATTAATAGGATTTTTCGTGCGTTCGACAGTCGATGGTAAATTTACAGTGATTAGAAAGCAACAACGATAAATTTGAAATCCTCCCGTCCGAGTCTGTCAAAAGCGGCAATAATTCGAGAAGAGATATTCCTCTTGCACAGGTCCCTTTTAGATTTTCCAGAGTAAACAGATCGTGCTTTCAAAAATTTAACGACCAATCGTACGTACCAGTCACTTTATACATACGTTTACTCAGCTCATTTGCGCAGTGAAAGAAAAAGTAAATGAACGGAGACACAATCAGGCCCAAGTGTGCTCCAAACGAAAAACGACAAATGTCATCGCGACTAGCCGATACATTTCACTTGTCAATCTTGCGTACAAGTTAGAAATAGCTGCAGAAACTGGTGAAAGAACAATGAATAAGTGGCGTGTGACCCTCTATAAACGATATGTTAACCTCAGCACCATGCGGAACACTGGTTGGTGGTAATTATTAAAATTGCGGATAGGTATCTAGATTACAGTTCGCGCGAATGCAAATGTAAACGGTGCATCTACGTTGAGAAACGTAGTTATTCGTGAATAATAGTTTCTTCTCGAGGAGAATGTTAATTTTAGAAATTACGTAGAAACCACCGCCGGAAGTTCTGCTCGTAGTTGAGTCGCTTGTACGCCCCATCTGGTTTTTACGCGAATCCCGTTTTTTCTCCATCTGTTTCTTCGGCTTGTGGTGTAGGACGTAGGATTGAAATTGGTTGAATTAATTTTCATTTCCTTTATTGTCGTTATATTTTTTCTATACCTTCTGATTCCCGTTGAAATACATTATTCGTCTCTGTTCACACGTGTACGTCGTGCTACATACTTATTACCAGTGTCAGTATTACAAACGATATATTTTCTTATATTTGTCATTTTATATCCGTTTACGTATATAGCCGTATAGTGAACGCATATGTGTATACATATACATTCGTAAGTGTAACGAAAAATGTCCGGCCGTTTTGAAAAAAAAAAAACGCCGCCGTGTAAATTGCTCATGTAACGCTGATCGTATATGTATATATCCATATACATATAAATACGTATAGATATACATGTATATAGACACGTATATGTGTATCTATATATATAACCCTTATCTCCTTCCCCTTAGGATGGTGGATGCTGGTGTAACCGTGTAACTTTGTCGTTTTCGGTGTTAGCCGCAAAATCTATTTTTAATGCCTAAAAATGCGCTATAAGCGAAATCGGCCCGATCCTCAACCAGACACTAACGTATTTCTTTGTTTTTTTTTTTCTCTGTCCTCTCTATTTCGACACGCGGCCGACCCGCAGACAGAAAGCTGTTCGTGGGAATGCTCAGCAAGCAACAAACAGAAGACGATGTCAGACAGTTGTTCACTGCCTTTGGTACAATAGAGGAGTGTACCATCCTCCGAGGACCCGACGGCAGTAGCAGAGGTGAGTAAAAAGGGATATCGTTTATCTGTGAATTTTTAACACACGCCTCGTGCTAAAACCTGGAAGATATTTCAACGATGTCGCGTTGAGATGTTTGATCGCCGAAATTTGTGTATTCAATCCTACAATTTTTTTTTTCTTTTTTTTTTTGTATCATGTAACAGAGAATATCTATGTCTAGCGAGTGACGTTGAACATACTGGCTTGAAAATGAGACAAATAATGTATGTGTGCTCTATGTTCTGTGTACGCTATGTTCGAACTTCTGTGAAACACCTTTTCTTCAAATTGAATGAACTTGAAAACATGCTTATGGGATGTGATATTTTCTTTTGTCTTTGAACCTGATCCATGTACACTAAAGGAATGAAACGACTTTTACAATCAATATTTAAAGCCACAGTCTCGATCAAAGAATTAAGGAAAATGAGAGACTTGTAATTTCGTCGTTTCATCTTTTCATTAGGCACGGTGAAATGGATTTCATTACAAAGCTGCGATGAACCGTGAATCTTATATCTCGCAGTTTCTCGTTTCCTACGTCCATCTAGCGCTAAAATGAGGGTTCTTTATTTGAAAAGGAAAAGAAAGTACGAAATTGACGACAAAGGTAAGCAAAGCCCGCAAAATTCATCGCGAGATGACGACGCAACGAGAGATTGTCTGAAAGGAAGCAATTGCCTTGAAGAGATGTGCAATTCTGGATATCGATGCACGGATAAAATCGTCGCACGACTGAGAGTAAAAAGTATAGAGTTGTCCCAGTTGCGTGATAGGAGGAACGAGATTCATGGGTCGGTAGAGATTGCCTCTGGAATGATGAACTCCGCAAAGGAAAGGAAAGAGAAACCGAAGGAAGCTCGGATAAGGCAGGAGAGGCAATAATTTCCGCTGGACGAGCCAGTGAAATTTAAATATTTTCGTATAAAAATGAAGGCCATGAGTAATGGGATGTCGGTCGAGTTTCTAGAAGGTTTAACAGCAAAGGAAGAGATGTAATCGAGCAAAACGATTAAAGCCAGAGGCATAAATGGCAGGGACGAGATATAAGAAAAGAAAAAGAAAAAGAGACAAGAAATAGAAAAGGGGACAGAAGACGGTGGAACGAGGTAAGCAGAGGTTACAAGAGGACATAAAGAATTAGGAGAGACTCGGGCTAAGTGGACAGCCACGGGCAAATAGGTGCGAGTGCAATTATATCCCAGGTTGAAGGTAAATCTCAGTTTCAACGGTTTTTAATTTCCGATGACGTAACGTAGCGGCCATCATCTTTGACAGCTGCCGACGAGCATAAACGCGCAGGAATCCCCGGTAGAAGAGGCAAAGGCGGCACGGTACTCGAGGAAAGACCCTTACGACGTTCCATGACACGCTCCTTTGCTTTGCGAAGACCGAATCTCCTGTTCACTCGTCTTCCCTTTCCCGTCTTCGTCAATTTTCCATCTCCGTCTTTGTCTCCCGTTTCCCTCCAACCCTCGCCACTGTCTCGTTTCTTTCCCGTTGTGCCGCGTAGTCTCTCGTTGTACCGTTGCCTCCGAGTCTTTTCGGCTCTTTGTCGAAAAACGGGACGACGCTGGCTGCCGCTTTTCAAGCTTTTTAATTAAAATCACACGAACGTAAAACATCATTGCTTTTCTTCGGGTTGATCGGTAGCCCGGAATTACAATTTCGTCGGTCGCTTACAAGGATTGCTAGTAATTTCAATGTCGACGATTTATTTCGCGATAAAAGGATGCCTGAAAAAGGGAACACGATCCTTGAATAAAACGTCGGAGCGAAATTGATTGTATGGGTTAATGAAAGAGCGCGATAGACATTCGATTGCTACATCCCTTTCCTCGTCCCAGTAATTAAACATTAGAGAATATTCCAGAAAATTCAGTTCTCTCTCTCTCTCTCTCTCTCTCTCTCTCTCTTATGTTTGTCGAAACATAGATTTCGCGAAGATGTAACTCTGGGATATTTAAAATGAAAACAGAATTTTCTCGTTTCTCTGGTATTTAACTGGTTTCGGGATAAACTGAACGAACTTAATTGCAATGGTCCTTAAACGTCTGTAGCCAAGTTTCGATGGACTGGATACGAATTCTGGAGCAAAAGGCACTGATCGCTTATTCCGCGCAACTCTACCGTTACATCCCTCGTCCTGGACCAGTTCCTTCTGGTTCCGTCCTGGCGGAAACTTTCAGAACACGCTTCATCACCGGTCGCTTGGGCTCGCTCGAGTTTCATAACTAGCTAATCCGTGACGTAATAGAGAGATCAGGAAGATCTCTCTTCCACGACTTCATCCGTATATCGCAGCAGCCAGCGTAGATCTATGACGTATCGCATTCTAATTCGTAACTTAATTTACAATTGGTCTCCGCAGAATCTATTCATCGATAGATCGTTACTTTTATCGTGAGAAAAAGAAAAAAAAAGAAAAGAAAAGAAAATGACCTTTCGACGCACAACGTCGTAAAGGATTTCACTTCGTACAACGATCGAACCCTTTCACGTCGATCGAACAAACAGGAGAACGTAATGAAACGAAAGATTAGGAATAATAAACGCTTAAACACGACAAGTATCCTTCCGTCTCATAGATTTCGTTAGGCAGCGACGGCCGAGAATTACAGTCTCCTCGAAAGTTATTGGCAGTCCTCTCATTGTTTTCAAATAACTTCCCTTATCGGATGATACTACCTAGATTGTAGAAGGTAGTTCGAAAGGTAGCAAAAGACTTCTCGGTAACGAGGAGTTTAAGAAGGGAATTCGGTTCGACGACTTTATGGAAAGACACCGACGGTTGTCTTCGTCATCGTTCAGGCGGTCCGCATTCCGCCAATGCCGTAGTAACGACAGACTCTTCGTCCAATTATTTTTCCCTCGCTTCGAAACATTTCAACACCACTTCAACGAACGAACTCGTTCTATTTTCTCGTTTCCGTGCCAACCTTTCTTCGCCTTGTTCCGTTCTTCTCCCGGTCTCTCTCACCACCACCACCACCCTCCCTCCCTCCCTCCCTTCCTCCCAAATCCTTTTTCCCTTTCGTCCCGTCTCTTTTCAATTCCCATCGGCTCCGTTTTTCGACGCGTACACAGGTCCTAACCGGGCTACCCCTTAACACGGACCTCCGCAGCCCGCATTATTTCAATTGTGCGAGCAGCAATAATTCACGGCGCTAAGAAGATTATAAAATGTTTATGAATAATGGAACGAAATACTATTCGAAGCGGGTCCAAGGGTGCTTCTCTATACCCGGGATCGTGGGAGGAGGTTTCACGAGACGAGGTACTACCAACGCTAAAGCCAATAATGCTGCGGAGCCACCTTCGAAAACGGAGAGGTGAACTCCTCTGTATCCGCGTATTTGCTTATTCCAGCACGCTGCATTGTAAACGTTGAACGAATATTCGCGCAACAGAACAATTCCGTGTATTAACTTGTAATAACGTTACGCCCCTGTATTCCCGATCCTCTTATCGCTTCGTTGCGAACCTTTCTCCAATCTGCTATTCATACCTAGCCTCGTCGACCGTTGAACGACGTTATATCATTCTTAAGTAGTTGGTTGTCATGGTTGGAAAACGCAAATTAAGGGGATTACACGCTCCTCCCCTCCTCCCCTCGTTCCCTCCTTTTATTTCAACTATTTCGTTATTTATTAATAATAAGACGCCTCTCGCCGATATCGTTCGAAATCGGTGCTTCTCGATCCACCTCCGAACGATCAATCTTTCATTCTCGAAATATTAATTAATTACTGAATATTTTAGCGATAGCTTTCGCAAGAATCGTGTGTACAGGTTCAAGAGACTGTAAGAGGCTGGATCGGTCGATCGATCGATCGATCGATTTCTTAAATAATTCCTTTCGCGAAACGTCGAAATCAACGATAATGTAACGATGTTGGCCGGTTACGTCTTCTCGTGCTGACGTGGGAAGGGAAGCACGGTATTTCTTATTTTATGACCGGCCATCGATTGAAACGAGAACGTCCGTTTTTCTTTTTCCTCCCTCCCCGTTTTTTAACGACGTGTGACGCGCTAGGCAGAGAAGCGATTTTCGATAACTCTCGTTTCGAGTTTCGCGCTTGATCGTGTGACGTCAACGGATTAGAATGGCCCCGTTAACGACATTACTGACAGGAAATATGACGAATCAATAATTTCCTCGATCTAGCATTTTATGAGGGAGTATTAAACGGGCGATAGTTATCGATGATTAATCGTTCGGCTGTCATCCGCATCGGTTCATCCGTTTGTTGAGAATGTATCGTGCCGTTAACGCGCATAACCGATCTTTTCTAGGCTTTTTATCCATCGCCGTGCCTTGATCACTCTATCACCTCTCGGCCGCCTTTATTTCTTCTTGATTTCGTAAACAACAAGTCCCCGGTAGCTGAGTCACGACTTTATTTTCCACCAGAAACTGCCGAATCAGAAAGGAAACGCGAGATTGAGCGCTGACTTGAAAAATCGCTGACACAAAAATACGGCGAAGGAACAAACAGCGCTGTCGTTCCTTAGAAACAAACGATTTGCTGATGCGAAACCCGGCCGATGCAGCCAATTGTACTTGAGTACTCGAGGCCGTCGTGCCGCGGCGATTAGAGGAATTAACAAAACAAAAACACGGCAGCGCCCGTCTGACGAAAATTGACTCTCACGTCGTAACCTTAATTTAGCAGATCGTGCAGAAGAGCGAAAGACAGATACCTGGCGATATTTCAAACGCCACGAGAAGGACACTAAATCAAAATGATGCCGCGAAATCGCCGGAAATCCAGACGCGGTAGCTTGAATGCAGACACACGAGTCCAAACGGTAAATCACGGGCAGCCTCGTCGAGTGGCTGTCGGAGAGTCCTGGTTGGTGCCTGGCTCTCGTCGTACGAAGCATTTATTAATCGCTCAGCTCCTAAATCCCGTGGCGCAGCTGGGCTCGAAATGTTTGTACGTATTGCAAAGTAAAGCGCGTGAGAGGGGACGCCGAGTCCTCTGGGAGAGGATTAG